ATACATGCCTTATACTAATATTAATTAAGCAAAATTACACAATAAAAATACTATATCAGATTCTTGTAATCTTAACACTTCTTAGTTTGGGTTTCTATTCAAAATAATGTTTATTATTATAAACAAAATAAAGATTTTTATTCAAGCATTATTATTATTTTCAGGACTAGTGATGATGTTAAAAAAAATTTTTTATATGAATTACAAAACACATTTATTCTCTTTCCATTTGTTTTCTTTTAAGTACAGCTTCATAGAGTTTCTCTTCCAATTGAATCCTCTTTTCCAATAATGATATATATTGCTCTTGTTGTGATAGATCTTCAGAAGCTTGTGTATTAATATTAGCTGTATCTTCAATCATCATCCTTGAATTGCTACTTGATTTGGTTTTTTTTGGTTTTTTTTGATTATTGCTTGATTTATGAATTTTGCCTATTATTTTCATTTTGGATAGTAAATGAATTATCATAAGAATAGCATAAAGAAATCATGAATTATTTATTACCTTTACGTTTAGCTGATTCTACATATTTTGTGTTTGACTTTTATTTTTTGAAGAGCTTGAAACATTATATTTTGTTGTTATCTTAATTTGATTCCATTGATTTAAATCAAATTTTGAAGCACTAAAAATTAAGCATTAAAAATTAAGCATAATTAATTAATTGAAATAAAAATAAGAAATTATAAAAAGTTTTTAAATTATTTACATGTTTATAGCAGCTAGCAATGACATTCTGGTTCCATCTCTATTAATATTCGCATGTGAAGCTTCCACAACATTAGTATTATTTCTATTTATGTCCCATAATTCATATGGCATCTTTGAGTAATGCTTATTAATTGATGCAAGGATCCATGGTATTTGCTTATGTTTAACCCATTTTAAATAAATATTATAAACATTAGGTATATTATAAATATTGAATTATATTATTGCTAATTAATAATAAAATACCGGTAATAGATTTATTCTTGGTATTATTAAGTACACTAAAAGCTTCTTCAACTTCAGTTTTATTTTATTGACATTCCTATTTAAAAATCAAGATAAAAAAAAAATTTAAATTATCATTTATATTAAAAAAATAT